GCAGCCCAGCACCGAGCACAGGCCTGGCACGCAGTAAGGTTCATCAAATGCTTATGATAAGTCTTCGCAAGAATGCGTGGTTTGGCAAATTCGGGTCTCCCTCCCTGTCCCCCACCTAAGCACCCCAGAGAAACCCACTCTGGGCACTAACGTGAGTTTCTTCACTAAAGGTTCGCTGATTCTGAGTGTACCTTGCCCTCATCCCAGAACATGGAGTTACAAGGGACTGGGGAGGTAATCTATCTGATTGACTCAAAGCCCCAGCCACTGTGACGCTCCGACAGGGGGTCACTCACGCTCGGCCTGGAGGTCTCCCCAAGAGCAGGGCAGAGTGGAATACACCAGGATTTGGGCTTCAGCATTTGTTTTCTTTTTTTGGCTGATGTCTTAGTCTCTCTGAGTCTCAGATTTTCCACTTATAAAATAGGGAAGAGAGCCTTACTCCAAATCGCTGTGATAGTTAGTAAGATCATTTAAAAGACAGCATAGTGCTTGGCCCTAAGTAATCACTTGATAAAGGGACAGGTTTTTTGTTTGTTTGTTTGTTTGTTTTATTAAGATTGTCATTCTTAGCCTTTATTGAAGTAGGTCATCCGATTGCAGGGTAATTCTGACCACGTCCTTACATTGGGCCCAAATTTTCATCCCCATGACTTCAGCACGTGGATCTGAGACTTTCCTTCTGGGACCCGCGTAGGCCAGGTCCATTACTAGAAAGAAATACTAACTGGGACCTTCTGGCCACCTCATCCCACCCATTCCCAGGATAGTCCCCAATTCCTCCAACCAGGATTCCTATGATCTGGGAGGCTCTGCTCCGTTTCCCAAATCGGGATGTCCGTTCAGTAGGAACCTGGCTGTTGGGTTTCCTCTGAGTTTAAATGGGGTTAGTGATTGTGTAGTCCTTTTCATTTGTAGAAGGCAGGTGGTTTCACTCTAAGAAAATCTAACACAGTCCACACAGACTTACAGAAGAGATTATTCATGGGGTAAATTCTCTTCACACAGAATTTTTGTGTTTTTTTTCCAATAAAAATATACATTTCTTGAAATATTGTCTCTTTTCCTCTGGCACGTAAAGTAAGATTCAGCTGATAAAAATTAGATCCTTTGGAAGAAGAGAGCTGATGAATAAAAGTAGGAACCCATACACCATTTCTTTGATTCATCAGCTCCATATTGGGCACCACTGCGTGACTTGCATTGGGTTAGGCATTCAGGAAGCCACAGTACTTGCAGGCGTGGGCCTGTCCTATTTTTCCTGTTTAGGAATCCCTCTGCACCCCACACAGAATGCCTTATGAATAACTGCACATCATTCGCTATGCAGCGTTGGGTAAACAAAACCATCTTTTAAATGTACGGTGAGCGCGGCTTCTGATTTGAAGGAGCGGAGGATCTGATGGGATTCATGGATTTTTGTCTACGCCATATTTTTTTGGATGCTCAGGCACCTAAATGATCTGGAAGTCAGATACTCTTCTCTTGTAAAAGGAGCTAGAGAGACAGTTAAAAAGAGCAGAAAATGAGAGCCGCACGTCCCTTATTCTGACATGTTTTCCTGCTCTGACACGTTTAGAAGTTTTAAAAGTTGGGGAAAAAAATATCAAGTCAATCCAACCTAGATTTGAATCCCGACTCCTTCACTTTCCAGCTGGGTGACTTTGGTCCAATTTTCTTACCTATCTGAGCTTCGAGTTCACATTTGTGAGACAGAAATAATAATGGGCACTTTTCAACGCAATCGTGAGCACTGAGAACAATGGCACATAGAAGGTGCTAAATACAAGCATTGTAACAGTAAAGATTTATATTTTGCTAATAAAATAAATACCAGCCTCTTTTCCACTAGTGACAACTTTCTCTTCCTTTTAGCATCAACCCCCTTTGGCTTTTAATCCCTTTTAAATATATTTCTGTTTCTAGACAACTGGTAAACCTCTGTCTTCACACCAAAACTGGGTTGTTTGGGTCAGCAGACCCAAAGTCTGTGAAATGGGTCACTGAGGCAGCACAAGACATCATGTCCTGGGCCCATGACCCTTGCCACTCCAGGCTGATGCAGACGGACCCGCTTCTTGGTTTGACTCACACCCAGCCTGGACCTCTTGGTTATTTCAGGTGGGTCTGGCTTGGGTATCCTTTTGGGGCCCCCTAAATGCAGAGGAATGTCCCAGGACAGCACTCTCAGGAGTCAGAGAAGCTTTCCCAGGAACTCTACCAACTTCCATGAGCCCCCAGGCAGGAAGAGAATATAGATTTGAGGGAGAGCCTGGCCAATTCCCTGATGTCCTGTCGGTCAGCAGCAGATTCGGAGCTAGGGTGAACTGCTCCTTCTGGAAATTTGCTGATTTTGCTCTGTCCCTGGAGTACGGACTGGGGACTTTTTCGTGAACAAGAATAACATTTATCAAATTGCATTTCTGACTGGAATGAACCCAGTGTGTCTGTACCCTTCACAGTGCAGGGGTGAAGAGAAACTTAACATCAATAATGCCCAGATTGATGGATACTATTTTCCATGAAAAATCAAAACCGAACAACCATTCACCTCACTTGGCAAATGTTTGGTGACCTTGAGGTGCAAAATTCTTTGGAATCAGAGATACTTTGGCGTGCTGTGGTCAGAACTGCCTATTAGAGTTCCACTCAGCAGGACCCAA